TATCTGTCTGTTTCCCGCTGTCAAAGCTAGAAGATCCGAATTGTGTTGGTCCTAGAGAGAGAACATTTTGGGGGTTGTCTGCATCCCCGAGCCCCTCATCTGTAACTAGGTACGACAACCGGACATGATGATGCCCAGAGAGTCCGGGATGAGAGAGCACGGCAATCGGTACGGTTGGTCCTTGTTGTTACGCCCACAGGGACCTTTGGAATACCCGGATGGATAGGTGTAAGACGACATAACAATTGTTCGTATTTCGATGGATAATGTCACGTTCACTGGTAATTATGCCATTCACACATCGTATATATTTCCTGAAGCTATTCCCGGAGATCTTGTTGTGGTTTCCATGTCCCGTCAAGATCATCTGGTAAGACATCTCCCCGGAGTTATCTGATACAGCCGTTCGATCAACAACGAACGGCTTCTGGAATTCTTCCCCTCAGTCTCGGCATCTCTTGTGCTCATCGGTGCCTGCAGCAAAGACACAGGGTAGAGATGTCCCCGATGGTCCGAACTGACGGGTACGGGGATCTGGATCGACTGCGAATACTGTTGGTGATCGACTTGAGCTGTTGTTTCAATCGTCTCAGTTGGCGAGTGATGGGCGAGACTGATCACGATCAGATCAGTGATATGGCTGTGAGATTATCTAATCCAAGCGGGGTTTTCTCGTCCCTGTTTCGCTACATCCAACATCTAACCTATCTATTCCTTCAGTCGACAAGTCAGCGCATCTCTCGTTACAGTCTTTCACACCCTCATTTGTCCCTGTTCACTTCTAAGTCGGTTCTTGTGCTCCCCTGCTGGTTGTTCAAAGATTCCGGCTGATTTCACTCCCGTTTAGACTCCCGATGAAGCTGAGCTCCGTACTCTCTCACACCTGTGCGCATGCGCATGAGACGACTTGCCATTTCCATCAACATGGTCTCCTACACTCCCCTCTATCACGAACCCCAACATCCTCCGCTTGTCCATCCGCAGTACGGCCTCTATACCCCTCATCTTCCCCCCAAACGGCAGCTGTGTTTGGAGCGAAAGGCTGATTACCCTTTAGCATTTTCCAACCCTGGCAGTCGTGACGACGGCGACACTATATTCAGCGGTCGCCTCCGCATGTCTCGTAGATGCGCGGCAATTCCGATATCGCTGCATGAGGAATTCAACTTCTCGAAGCGGCTGTCGCACTGCCTCCACTGTAGGAGATCTTGACAGGAGCCGGGGTGGAGTGCTCGCACACGCGACATGAAGATACAGCGGGGCTTCAAGCACAGACGCGCCAAGGGGGATTTGACGAGAACCCATATAAAAATGCCGTACGCCGGAAATTAATGATCAGATGAGACGGACGATCTCCGATTCAGGTTGGTAGTTAACCTCCAGATCTCACACGACCGTTAGGCTAACCACATGAAGCAAGTGACAGGCCGTGAGAGCATCGGAGAAAAAAGATACAACACCATCACCACCCCCGCCTTGTTCTTTCCAACGGTTGATCGATGACGATGCATGTATGGATTGCATTATCTAAGCCGTTATTGGACGAATTCAACATCCTTTTACAGGCATGATCACCGATTGCCCCTCACCACCATCGGAAGTGTGTTATCTGCAAGGAACGAAGCCCTACTTCCCCGCTCATCCGGACTCGAACATCTGATGGAGTTTGTCGTTTTGTGATAATCGATAACGGAGCATCCGATTGTCGGCCAACTCCACCTTACTTGCATCGTCCGTCGACCTCTCCACCATCACGAAGAGTATCACCACCATAACCGCCGTACCGGCTGAGTTCGGTCTCAACGGCGGGGATGAATCCCGCAGGCATGAAGTAAGGTTGAGATATGGCGTCGAAGGGCATGATACTCCTCGTTCGGGAATCTTGTTTGCCGGGTAGTGCTCCTGAGCAAGGAGATATCCCAGAATACCAACCAAACAGAGGAACGACTAGGTGTGATCAGGCAGGTTCCGCCCTCATGAGTTCAGCATCCTTGAACAAGCCCGATGCAACGAACTTACGGTTCGCTTACTGACCAATATTCTAGACGATAAGCACGCCGAGGTGTAGGAGAGACTTCTCCAAACTCTCCTCCTCATATCTCGACGATCCGGTATAAAACCATCTCCCTTCCCTCGTTGGATCACCATCACCACAAGTGAGCATCCTCGACTTCCATTCCTTCCAAAGGTCCTCTGCAGTAGGATATCTATCTTTCAATCCTTTCCACCACAAAGAACAATGAAGTTCCTCATCGCTCTTGCTTCCTTCGTCGCCGCGGTCGCCGCCGGCCCCCGTTGCTCTGCTCCTGAGCCCAGTGAGTGGCTCCTCAAACAGTCTGCTACTTTCGCCAAGGAGGCGAAGGCCAACCCGTCGATTGCCTCTTCGATGGTCGCCCAGGCCATCGTCGTCCCGACCTACTTCCACGTTGTCCGCGCCGGCACCGCTGTCACCCAGGGTAACATTCCGGACTCGCAGCTCACTGCTCAGGTAAGTTGAAGGTTTTGTGACGATAAACACAAGCATGATGTTGAAAATGTTGTAGCTCGATGCCATGAACTCGCACTTCTCTGGCTCCGGTATCTCTTTCCGCCTGATGGCCACCACCAGGACTACCAACTCCAACTGGTACAACGACAACAACGAGTCTGCCATGAAGGCTGCTCTTCGTCAGGGTGGCTATGATGCTCTCAACGTCTACTTCTACAACCTCTCCGGTGGAACTCTCGGTTTCTGCTACTGTTGGTTTCCTCGTTCGTGATATTCCTACCGCGATTGACTAACATCTATCCAGTCCCCGTCGCCAACCCCTCCGCGAGCCAGCTTAACCTCGATGGTTGCTCCGTCCTCTACACCTCCGTCCCAGGCGGTACCGCCACCAACTACAACCAGGGCAAGACCTTGACCCATGAAGTCGGTCACTACATGGGTCTCTACCACACCTTCCAGGGCGGCTGCTCCACCACCAACGACGGTGTTTCCGATACTCCTGCTCAGCGCACTTCCACCAGCGGATGCCCGACCACTAACCCCGACACTTGCCCGACAATGCCCGGCTTGGGTACGTAATTTCTATCTGAGAAGTGTAGATGGATGCTCATGCTCTAATAGACCCCATCCACAACTACATGGACTACTCCTATGACAGCTGCATGTACGAGTTTACCCCGCAACAGATCACCCGCATGAACCAGTTCTACACCAACTACCGCTTGTAAGTGGCGGTGGAGAGAGCGGAGTACTTGACATCGGTGGAGTGAGGGGAATGCAAGGGAAGAGATAGGGAATTATGGATTAGGGATGAAAGGATAGCAAGGGTCGCAACGGTGTATGCTCAACGAGAGCGACACGTTGCTTGGAAAAGGATGGAAGATCGGGTATTGGAAAGGAAATGGATTATGTAGGAATTGGAATGGAATACTTCTGTGTCAAAAGTTTGCGTTCAGCTTTTGGATTGGATAGAGAATGCGCCGTCTGTGATCGCTGTCATTATCTGCAACATCACGAGCGATCGCATTTTGGAAAACAGTGGGCCTGGCACGGATCAACACAATGCGGTCTTGTCCTTTGATGTCCATGACGCAGATCATCACCACCATGACAATGTCGTTGTCGATTCCCCCCCCCCTCGACTCCCTGCCTCCGAGCGCCACTCCCTCACTACCTCCAGGGCTGAGCCACACTCACTGCCCAAATCTCCACCACCTCATCTCCAACGATTAGCTCGGAATGGGTCGTGGAACAACCACATATTTCCACCAACGTATCTCCCACCACCACGACTCCTCTCCCCTCTTCAACCCTCCATCTTCCCACTTGTTTGTTTGTTTGTTTGTTATCATTTAAGCGCATGCGTCACCTACTCTACAGCTTCCGCCCTCCCCCTCCCCTTTTAGTTCTGCTTCTTACAGGCTTCTGCATACATATAAGTTCGTCCACTGTCAACCCCATATCTCGCCGACCCTTCGCGCTGACGATGGCCGCCTTTTGAGTTGTGCTAGCGAGCTACTACGCACGTTCTCTCCTCTTCCTTTTCATTTAAAGTGTATCACCTCCTCTCCGCTCTCTATTACCTCCACTCGGCGTTTCCCACTTCTTTCTCATTCTTCCTCTGTTCCAGCTTCTCCCTCTACTTGTTCTCCCCACCCCCACCCTTCCGCCCATCTCTCTTCTCTCTCCCTTATTTCCGCATCGTTCTGCACCTTCCCCACCTTCGTTGTTTCCAGGTAGTTTAGTACAGCTGCTGTGGCCTTCCGTTCCGCGAAAATCGTAGAGAGTGCATGCCTTTTTGTGAGGCCGACCTGCTTTAGGTCTTTCCACAGTTTTTCCTGTTGTCTTCTCCAATGTCTGCATTCTTTGAAGAGGTGTTCTCGGTTCTGTCGGGGGTTTCCGCACCACCAGCATTCGTCGCTTGTGGCTCTCCCTATTCTTTTTAAGTATTCCGCGGTTAAGCCTTTGTCTGTGGCGAATCTGAAGTATCTGCTCGCGAGGCTTTTGCAGGACCTCATTGCAGATTGGTCCGGTTCTCTGGTTCGGGGGAGTTTGAATCGCTGCGGGTAGTATTTCCCGCATGTTTTGGCTGCCCATTCTCTCTCTTCTTTTTCCGTTTTCTCTCTTAGTCTCCGGGCGAGGTGGGTAATTGAGGTCGCCCCGAAGCGTCTCGCGTTCTTGTGTTGGCTCTGTCTGGAGGGTTCTTTTGCAGCTCTGTCTGGAGGCTTCTTTTGCAGCTACGTCTGCAATCTCGTTTCCTTCGATACCGTGGCGCCCTGGAACCCAGTAGAAGTGGGTCTCTATACCCTCCTCTTCCAGCTTTCGGTGGTGTTCTCTGATATCTTCCACGACGTTGGACCCTGGTCCTGGCTCCGTTGATTGAATCCTTCTCAGAGCGTATTGGGAGTCCGTGAAGACTTTGAGCGTATTGACCGAGTCTCCTCCACTTGTTACACCAACCAACATGACAAGTGGATTGTAATTGTTTTTTTCTTAAAATAAGAATCCACAGGCTCTGGTGGTCTAGTGGTTATGATGCTCGCTTCCCATGACACGGTACCAGCGGGCGAGCCGAGTTCGATTCTCGGTCAGAGCACATTTTTTCGTTTTTTGTTTTTTTTTTGGGACTAGGGTCGAGGCAGGTGAGAGGTGGCTTACCACTCCGTTTTATCAAATGTCTACCCACACCTTCCAGTTATACACCTAGTCATCGCACCTTATCACACCACCACCCGAAGCACAGCTCATCAATCCTCCTCGCTCTCACCCATCGGCCTCACACACCACGTCGTCACCTTCATCAAAACACCACACGACGCCCAGCTCATCGGTCTCCAATAAGGACCATGGGACAATGCTTAATGTCAGGCAAGACAGATGGGCGTATGAGAAACTGTTTGGAAAACGCATGGTGATATCAGTGTTGGTGGACTTGGGATTGAAGACGACTCGTTGAATTGTTGAAGACAGCTCTCGGAAAAAAAAAGATGCAAGATACCAGTCCCTCCAATCCCATCATGGCATCCACCCCGATATATAGTATAGTAGCCCGGCTTAAACTACAAGCTACACAACACTTTCCTGCACTTTCCTGTACTTGGGTAACTCTGACTCCGAGTAGTAACAGTGGAGGTTACCGTGACCCCTCCGATCCCACTGCATGCTCAGGCTCATAGAGTTTCGGCATCATCATGTTATAGAGTACTATGTATGTAATGATTCATCCGTGAGATCATGGTTCCCGGGCCCACGACGCACTGCTGTGATCTTTCTTCGACTCGGAGTTCTAGTATACTGTGTATACTTGCTACTAGTACGGGCCGTTAAGTTGTTGTTGTTGTTGTTGTTGTTGTTGTTGTTGCTGCAGATTCCCAGGGCGCGGGGCCGGGGATCGAAGACATACAGGCCTGGGCAGTGGGGAGGCGAACTTGAGTGCAGCGTGGAGAGTCGAACCTGGAGGGGGATGCGTGATTTCTCATGACGCGCTGCACTGGTGATTGAGTTTTGTAGAGTAGTGACTCGAATTGGATGCGCTGCGTGACTCGGAGTTGACTAAGCTTGGAATGAAAGTGCCGCAGATGAGGTTGGATTCGGAAGTGGGGACTCGAGCAAGGGATGGCGATGGGACGGATTGAATGGTATTAATCTATCGATGGTACTACCGGTACTATAGGCTATCAGATCTACTTACCGGTATACAGTACTCTACTATGTACTTATCCAGCCGTGCGACTGCAGTGCAGTTGAGTGATGCCATGGCACTGCGTTCTATAGTATGGTACTCTACTATATGTCTATACGTTGTCGAAAACGCGGAACCATGAAACCATGAATGGTCCGAAAGGGTGAAAAACAAAAATGTCGAAAAGGTCGAAAACGTGAAAAGGTATTTCCCCCCTCTCCCCCTCTTTCCCGCCCCCAACATCCTTCTCATCCCAGACCCCTCTCCCCCATCCCCAAAGAGAGAGAGTGCTAATGTCGGGATCGCGCTAATTCATCCTCCCCCTCCCATATCTCTCCCCCGCCTCCTCCCTCCTCCACATCCTTAACCGCCTCGTCCTCTCCCCGCCGTCCTCGGCCCCCCTCTTCTCCCACCCCCCCAACCTCACCACCAACACGGTCGCATTATCCCCCATCTCCCCGACCTCCTCCACAAACTCCGTAATCTCCCTGGCCGCCTTCTCCGGTGTGTCCTCCTCTTTGACTATATCACAAATCTCTTGATCCCCCAGCACGCCGGAAACACCGTCGGTGACGAGGACGAGGAAGGAGTATTCCGAGGGGTGGAGGACGAGAGAGGAAATGTCGGGCTCCGCGGAAACGCCGAGGCGTTTTTGGGAGGCGTCCCCGACGGATCGAGTGTTGGCGAGAAAGCCGAAGCGTTCTTCGCCAAAGGAGTCGTGGTTGAAGGCATGGGTGTAGCGACGGAGTCTGGCCGACTCTGTTGGGGAGGAAGGGGAGTGCGGGAGGGTGAGCGGGTGCGCGGTGCCGTCGGAGGTGCGGCAGAGGATGGCGCGGGTGTCGCCGAGATGGCAGGTGATGAGGGTTGACGTCTGTTCGGGATGCCAGTAGGGGTGGTGGGGCGTGGACGGGGAGATGAGGATTATGGTGGAGGTGGAGCCGCCTTTGAAGGTGGTGACGCCCTTGGGGTCGCCGGAGAGGAGGGTTGGTTCTTCGCCTTCTACGGTCGGGGGGAGGTAGAACGGTCGGGAGTTGGTGATAAAGTCGAGGTCGAGTTTGAGGAGGGAATACATTAATACTGATGGTATCGTCGGGGATCCAGAGGAATTGCATTTCGACCCTGTGAGACCAAAGTCGATCTTGACCCGCCGCCAGTAGCCCCCGACGGTCGATTTCCAGTCATGTAGCAAGTCCTTCTGCAGTTTCTGCCGGTCCTTGTGGTGCGCTTTCAACGCCTCCGGAAGTGATGCATTTGTGGGCGAAATCGGCACCGGCGTGGACGTCGGGTTAAACAGCCTCGACGTCTGCTCGATATACGTGTGGAGGTTATCCTTGAGGTATAAACTCGCCGTGTCGCCTCCATGACCATCAAACACCCCATAGTAGAACACCGACGCCCCAACATCACTCATCGGCGCCGCCGCATCCTCCTTTGGCGCATTCTCGGGCGGCGATGAAAACGGCGGGATATCAATCACGCCGGCCTGGGAGTGGTCCTCGTTGTATGGCCTCGTTCCGCGGGAGGTGGAGACGCCGAAATGATGTTTCGCGCTGCGCAGCGGGATTCGTACTGTTGTTGTTTCCCGGTCGGTTGATGACCTGGGACGTCAGAAGAGTACTGGTGCTGGAGCAGCGGAACTTACAACTTGCCCTTCCGCAGCTGCGGATCAGGATGTAGCGAGCTCCCCGGCAACACAGCGGTAAAGTAGTCCCTGAACCATCGCCGCTGCTGGTAGATTGGTGGTTTCTGCAGGCGGCTTCCTCGCAAACCAACTTCCGCACACAAAGTCTGGCGTCTTGACAAATATCTCGATATGAACGCTATCGTCACCGATATTGTCAGCGCAGTCCACATACCTCCAGCTCAACCGGCAAGCCCGCACGCACAAGATATCATCAGCACTCACAGTAGCTATCCCGCAGCCCCCAGGCGCGCTGGTACGGCGTCATCATGGTTGTCGTTGCTGGTGTTTTCCGCTCAGTGGTATTGTATAAGCTTGTCGTCGTCTGTAATCTTTCTCGTCTTCTCGTCGTCGTCGGTCCGGTGGTGAAAAGGAGCCCTTTGCCCCTTGAACTGGGCTGAAAAAGACCTTGCACACCCACGCACAGCAAACGCGGCAAGTCCACGCCTTCTTACTCCTGCTGCGTGCCTTTCTGCTACAGCGCGCGCCGACGTGTCGCTGCTGGAGTCGCTGGTCGCTGGGTCAGAGCTGTTCACTAGGTTCGGTCGTTGGGAGCTGGCTGGTGGTGGTGGTGGTGGTGGTTGCTGGCTGACGGTGGTTGCTGGCTGACGGTGGTTGCTGGCTGACGGTGGTTTCTGGCTGATGGCTGCTCGCTGCGGAAGCTAGCTGGAAGAGAGAGAGAGAGAGAGAGAGAGAGATAGAGAGATAGAGAGAGAGAGAGAGAGAGAGAGAGAGAGAGAGAGAGAACGTGGAAGGTGGACGGGGATTCCAACGGTTGGCAGCAGTGCGTGATTCCTCCTTGTCGACGTTGCTGTGGTGGTCAGGAACACTGCACAGTGAGGCTGGCTGGCTGGCTGGCTGGCTGCGGAGCCTTGTGGTGAGTGGCGGGGAGCTTGTCCTCGTCGTCCTCGGGAGTCTGCTGGACTTCTCGGTGGTGTTGGTGTCGGGAGCTTGCTGACTGTTGGGCTTGATGATTCTACTACACTCGCTGTCGCCGTCGTCGCTGTCGCTGACCGTGGTGTCGGCGGCGAAGTCCACGATGCTGGCGGCGGTGGTGGATGCGGAGAGGAGGTTGGAAGCGGTGGAGCTGCCCGGACTTTGGACAAGTTGGCGGATGGTGGAGACCCGGGCCGGATCCGACGCAGACCCGTTGTTGGCATTGCTGTTGTTGGGCTTTGGGGGGCGGGCGGGGGGTGTTCGTCATGGTGCAGATCAGCCATGTTCGCCGCCTCCTCTTCTAATCCATCGCCTCGCCTCCTGTTGTTTCCGCGATGAACCAGCTCAACTCAATACAGCAAAGGAAAAAAAAAAAAAAAAAAAAAAAAAAAAATCGATTCCGCGGACGCAGCTTTGGAACTGCCGACAGGTGATGGTACTCACAGAAATGGGGGCGCGACGCGGAGTCGTACGGCACTCGCAGCACAACGCAGGAGGAACCACAAGAACAATAGTAGAAGCAAACAGGACAGAGTTCCGATGTCACGGTACAACACTGTATAGTCGACGACATGGTGGTTAGGGAAAACGTTGTCTGACACCTGCAATGCGATGTACTGTCAGGACGTTTTCGCATCCCATCGTTACCGCTGGCGGCCGGACTGAAATCCTATATTCCCCATCATGCTCGAGTAGTATATCTACTTAGCCATCACCAACAGCTAGCATCATGGAGCAATCTCTTCCGCTGATAATCATCATGCTTGATCCGTGTACCTATCGCCATCACCAGCCCCCCCGCATCTGGCGTGGCGTGGAGTCACGAGCTAACTCCCACATCCCAACTCCACCGAGCCCAACTCCACCGAGCCCAACTCCACCGAGCCCAACTCCACCGAGCCCAACTCCACCGAGCCCAACTCCACCGAGCCCAA